TGCTAATGCATAAATTAAAGAAGGTTAACCCAGTAAAATGTATGCTGCTAATACCAGTGAGGTGGAAAGGAGAAGGGGTCGAAAAGTGGCTCAAATCATAGATTTCTGTTGAAATTTGTCATTAAGCCATAGAATATTAGACTTGAAGTATTACGTAAGCTCACTCCTTCAGTTTAAATGATGAGGGTACCAGGGATGAAGAGTTTTGTGAATGGCTCAAGGTTATTTCACAAATTAGTCTTTAATATAGATTTTCTGTCTTGTTTCTCTAAAAATGGACTTCCTCCACAATTTCATAGCCTTCCATGGATAGACACTCAGTCTGTCACATAACAGTTAGGTGGACTAAAATCAGATAATGAATATGAAAATATTTTATATATCACCTGGATCATAATAGGTGATGACAAAAGCCCTCCCTCCCTTCCTCCCTCCCTCTCTCTCTTCCTCCTTCCTTTCCTTCCTTCCTTCCATTCTTCCTTCCTTCCTTCCTTCCCTCCTTCCTTCCTTCTTCCCAGTGCATATTAAAGTCAAGAGGGCAGACACTCAATGTTAAGTATTAAATCAACCAGGCTTATTCCCTTGCAGGTTGCAGGAAATTATAGTTTCTCATCTCTGTCAACCTCAATTGGTGTTAGCAATATTAGCAAAGAACTTCTATTTTTTTAGCAGGATTTGAAAAATTTCCTTGTCCATCCATTTTCTTTGCTGTTTCTCCACTTTAATGAGGCCAGAAACTTTACCCACTGGTGGTCTAACACTTCCTGAATGTGGAAGATAAGTTTGGACTTATACAGTACCAGATGTTATCTAGGTGATTGAGAATGTTCTGTCTTGAAGAGTGAGGAATAAAAATACTTTCTTGTGGACCTATTGGGAATATCTTTAAAAAATGTTTAATTCAAGTAAGAACTCTTAGTCTTTGAAGAAAAAAATGGGCCTGGCTTTGCCTCTTGCTTCTAAATGGTTTCTAGAAGGGCTGGGTGTCAGTTTATTACGAGAAATCACTGATTTACTTCATCAAGATCATTGATGGGCCTGTTTCCCATCAATGTTCAGAGACATTTCCTTCCTCCCTACCCCTTTCCTTTTTATTTACATTGAAGCTTTGATCTATTTAGCATTATGGGAGTAGAAGGAAGACATCTGGTAATGTTATTTCCCAGAAAAGATTGAGAACTTTATCCAGGAGATCTTCCTAGCCTAGTTTTCAACTTCTTATATTTTCTTACCAGGAACAGACATTATCATGGGAGATGAAGCCAGATGTGAACACTTTGGTCCATATTTTATTCCTTCACGGATCGTCTTTCATCTTTAATCCAGGTACAACTTAAGAATTTTTTGCATTCAGAGTGAGCCAATGAATTGAGAAAACAATTCTACAAAACCTCATTGTACTCTGCTCATATACAATTATAACTTTATGTTTCAAATCTGACTCTAAGGCCCTGTATTATTTATTGGGAAACTATCATTTCTTGCTCAAACCTAACTTATTAGGCGTTGGATTAATGGGCCAACTTTTATGAAAAAAAAACTTCTTTGTGGGGCTGGAAAGGCGGCGTTGTGAGGGCAGTACGTTAAGTCAGAGGAAAAATATGACACTAAAAAGCAAGATTGGCATTTTCCTTTTGGGGCTTGAAACGTGCTCTAGGTCTGGCTGTTTTAGGCCTTAAGCTGCTATTGTATCAGAGAGATAGAGGGCAGATAATAAAAGTGGGTTCATCGGTTGTGTTTACAAAGGAGATAGGAACATAGTTCCTTATCAAATAGTGCTTGGAAAGTCCATCATGAATGTTGAAAGGTTGGGGCCTGGAAGAAATTAGGCAGAGGCAAACATAGCACATTTGAAATAGAAAGCAATTGTGGATGTAGAAAATGTGTATGCTGGGTGTGAGCACTTTCTTCTTTCAGATTGTAGCACTTTTTGTCCTGAGCTTCCTTAGAGCTCTTCTGGTGAAATATGCTACACGCTGGGGAAACATTTGGTAAGTCATCCATAGTCATGACTGTGATTTCGTGTGCCTCATTCTCAGTCCCCTGCTTTGCTCCAGGCATGGTCATTATGACCAGGTCAAAGCAGATTTTGACAGGTTTTATGTAGGAGCAACCTGATGGTGTTTTGCTTTGTACCCATCCTACATACACCTCTTGCTTCCTTCCCTGTAGGTCTTTTGATACCAATGGGGAAAACATCTGCGCAGCATTCACATATGTCCAAATTGGCATGTGGCTGACTTAATGCCCATAGGGTCACCAGTGAACAATGGAGGACGAATACAAGAATACATGCTTCCCTCCTTTGTATCCCAGGTGGATGGTTCCAGAATTTGTGTTTCATGAATGTTCTCAGAAGATCCCAGTTCACTGGGCATCAATGACCTGTAGTGGTGGACAACTCAATAACACAGCCTTGAATGTGCTGTCTCTGGATTCTTAAGGTCTTAGTCTGTAACCCCTGGTGCTATGACAAAAGTTAGTGGAGGGTATAATGGAGGAAGAGAAGACAGAGTAGTCATTTCTTTCATTATTGGATCAAAAATGGCTTCATACATAGATGAGGCAATGCCTGTAGATGAAAGTGTTATGACTGGGTAGGGTAAAGGTGTCTGGAAAAATGAGGTTATTCCTGGAAGACGACACAGTCTGAGCAAAGCCATAGAGTATTGGAAGTAGTACAACCTTCTGGGTTAATTATAGTACCTCTGTGTTCACAGAGCACAGATAGGATGATGCGGTGAGAGACAGAGCTGGAGGAAGCCCTGCCCATCTATGCTCTTATTTATAGAAATGTTTAAGTTCAGTGCTATCTTGTAAGCTCTCTGAACGCAGAAATTGTATTATTTTTTTAAGATTTTTTTTTAATTGTGGAATTGTGGAATGGGAGCAGCGCTGGGAAACTGGGGGAAGGGGAACAGACAAGTTGCTGTCTTTTTGTTCTTCAGTCTAGTTGTGCAGGACGTTGCTTCACTGGCCCAAGTTGGCACCATCATTGTGCTCTTCCCGGGCGAGGCAGATCAGTCGCCGGGTTCTGGATGGCCGCTCACTGCGGCTGCTGGCCGCTCACACTGGCTGCTGGCTACACACAGTAGCCCACGGCAACCCACTGCATCAGAGGCTGCAGCCTATGCCGTTGCCGGCGACTCACAGCAGCCCAGCTCCAGGTTGAGCTGTTGTTCAGCATCTTAGCTGTGGAGGGCAGTGTCACTGGCCCTCATATGTGGGATCCGAACCAGGGCCCTCTGGCATCCCAAGCCAGTTCTTAACCAACGCACCACTCGGCCGGCCCCAGGAATTGTATTTTATACCCATTTTAACTTTACAGGACCTGGCAGAGTCTTGGGCAGGAGGTAGCTTATTCAAATCAATCAAAATCAGGTTGCTTGTCAGTGAAAACTATGAAGGAACCTACTCACTTGGAGGACACCAAGAAAACAGACTTGGAGAGTCGATATCAATCATTTGGTTCTATTTTAAAAATATAGAAAAATGAGAATAATATAACAAATATTTTCCAGATAATATTATTTTTAAAGAACTCTTGAAGGAGTTCTCTTTAAAATCAGCACATAGTAAACAGTAAAAGAAAGCTAAGAAGAATTGAATTCTTTCTACTAAAGTGCACATTTTTTAAGTAGGTAAGCTAAGAATACTTAGACCAATTCAGTCATCCATTCAATCTACTTTCATTGCAGAAGGCATATGAATGCATTGAAATACCCTTTCATGGAGCAGAATACCCAAGGTAGAATGTTTCACCAGGTTATTGATGAGAAACTGTCAGGTGGCTGATGAACCATCTGGGTGGGCTCGGTCCCACTTTGCATCCTGATCATTTAACGTCCCTTGCTTATATATTGCATATTGATGCTTAATGGTCTTAGTGAAGGAAACTGGTTTTTTTGGTATCAACACTGGTACACTAATTACGGTGTATCCTGGTCTGTTTTTATGTAACTAGACAAAGTTTGTAATTAAAGTTTGGTGATGGGCCTTACTTTACTACATAGAGCTAACCAAATGGATGTATTTCGTGTTAACTCCTTTTGTTCCTTTTTGTTATGGTTTAGAATTGTCTAGTGCAGAATTGAGACTTCTGAAATGCAAATAATTTACAAACACTGTCTTCTACAAAATACCTTCTGCAGTTGTAATAGGGATGGGTTTATCGACTCCTGAGTGCCTTTCTCTCTCTACTCCCCAAATTCAGGCAGAGAGAAATGGGCTTTCTGGGATGAATGTGGCCTGCAGCACATTTCTTCATTACCTAACTTTTTCTTTCTCTTCAGTTTTTGCCTCCTCAAGTTTGGATTTTTCATCAACTGCTAAAGCAGAGTATAAAAATGTCCCACTTACTGAGAGTGTGCACTATTACTGTTTGAATTCATCACATATTGGGGATTATATTCCTTCCAAGTCTGTATTTACTATGTTTTTAATTGTTCGATGATTGAGTGGATAATACACATAGCAGTGACATTTGACAATCACTTATGTGAACTGAATGATGTAAAATAAAGCATGAGAAAGCCATTTGAAAAAATATGTACTATGTAACTACAAGTAGTAATTTTAATGACAATAACAATCACTGATATAAGATGGGATTAAGTCTATATTTAAAATAATTTATTCTTTGATTTCAGTGGGCCCAGTATCCAGGTAGTGTTTTTGCTATTTACATTCTGAAGTTTCAAATGTTTCAGTGTTAATAGTAAGAGGAAAAATAATGGCTGCTATTATCATCATGATATGTTATTGAGTCCACAGAATGCACAGTAGAGATTTTACAATTACAAAGATGGTAATTTGAAGCCAGAAATATCAATGTTGACGGTTCTGCCTCTTTAACAACGCATGGAACTTGTATAGTAGCTGTTTATTTGTCCTCTTTTGAACTGGCAGGTTTAGCGATAATGATGTATAAATAGCCCTTCTCTTGTTTTACTTTGAAGACTTTAATAGAATGTATATATATAGTAAAAAACCAGCTGACATGAGGACATGGGGAATCAAAGCAGAGGAGGCAACAGAAATGAAAGCACCCAGTTCCTTTCACCACATACAGATGACTTCCTAGTGCTTCTGACCACGGGATTCCAGGGCAGACAGGTAGGTCCCCTTACGCCACGTCAGAAAAATGAAGACTTCTCTTTGTACTTCTGTGTGACTCGTAGAGATGAAAGATTATGGCAGAAAGAGTACAGATTTGGGAGTTTCTTTCATTTGCCAGGTACTCAGGACCTCATGATAGGTCACTACAGCCCCTTTTATCAGCACTCTCAGCATCCATACCTACATGACCTTCTTCTGTATCTACTCTGCAAACGTAGGCCCATCCAAACATTCACTTTCTCATTCCTGTGATGCTCACCGCAGCTGGAGGTTAGAACTCCAGGGCATCGCACTGTCACAGAGCTTGCTGTTCCGCTTCTCTGCGCCCAAGATCACTCGAAAACTCACCTTCCTGCTTCAGTGGTTGCCTGCTCCTGTTGCTGGAGCGGGTCGCTATCCTACATGTTCACCACTCCTCGGAATTTCCCGTTGCTGCGGCTTCACTTTCAGCACATCATCTTGCCTCTGCGTAGGGAGTCTGGCGTTCGCAGGCAGGAACTCTTGAGCCTACTGTGGAAGCACCTGACAAACTATATTTGATCCACCTCATCTCCTTCCACCCTGCCTCAGAGCAAGAGGTAGGCTGGGCCCTTCTGTGCTCTTGATATGACCTCCTGTTTTTCTTTTTTCTTTCAGAATCATGCTCCTTATCCCTCTCTCCCCCGCGTATCTACCCTGTCTTTTTCTATCGGCATGTTCTTTATAGTCTGAAACATATTAAAAAAATCCCTTCATCAACTCCCTATTCCACTTTAGTTGCTGTCCTATTACTCTCCCTTCAGTTCATACTCAGTTTCTATAAAGTGAAGGTGGTTCCAAGGGTCAAGACTCAAATGTCTATTGGAGACAAGAGCAGTAATGGAGACAATGAGTGAAGAGGACTGAACTGAGGGTGATCATGGCTCGCCTTGTCTGACACTGACATTCTATGCTGCCCTTCATTCTTCTATCGGAATCAGGGTCCAATCTGGCCAAAATTGTCGACTTTTTTCCCCCAAAAGAATCATCAAACCTGAATTTCTGTTTGAAATGTCTCAATGTTTAAAACACTGGGCAGTCCTAATAGAGGACACATGTGAGCCGAGTAAGTATTATGGACACTAGTTTTAGCTCGGCCGACACTATCCTGGTCTTGGAAATTTCATCTACTTAATCAACCTACTGCAATAAATTTTCTGCCTGTAACACTCCTCAGAAACTGCTGTACACTAGCATTTCTCAAAGATTTATGTGCCCATGAATCTTCTAGGGATTTTGTTAAAATGGGAGAATCAATTCTGATTTAGAAGATGTGGGGCGAGGCCTAAGTTTTGCATGTCTGAGAAGCTTCTCTGTGATGCTGCTGGTCCATGGACCACACTTTAAAAAGCAAGGCTCCAGAGGACATGCTCATCTTTAGAGATGTATCACAAGGAAATCCATTTAATCATCTCCCCTCACCCTCACCACTAGTAGAATTGATTCTTTTTTTCTGAGCACCTGGTGTATCCTAATCCAATGTCTGTAAAGGCGCCTGTAATTCTTTCTATCATTTACATGTTTATGTGCCTGCCTATTGGTCTGTAAGCTCCTCCGTGGCAAGGGACATACCTTACTGACTCTTATCCCCCTAAGCACTATTGCAGTGGTAGGAACACAGCAAGTACTTAACAACTTTGTCCATCTGCTCCCATTTCATATCAGACAGTCTCTAAGAGTGTGTGTGCATGTGTTCCTTCTCCTAGGAGTTAGATTGCAATGTGGAGAGTTCATTATGTTGAAGGATAGACACTCTTTCCCCAAAAGCTCCTGGCGTATAATGAGTTCCCAAAGAAGGATTCAGTGCCATGTTTTGCTAGAATTTTCTGTTCCATGTTGAAATTCGTCTCATAATGTCATCTTTTCAATTTGTGTTTCCAATTAGGAAAAATAAAAAGCTAAATTCCTTTGGTTTTTCTTCATTGATGGTTTTCAACACCTCTGTTTGCCAATATGAAGGACATCTGGAAGTTGTGTGCTCTCACTTATTATGGCTTGGTAAATATCACCCAGGGTTTTTCTGCTCTCAAGGCCACATGCCAGATGTTGCAGAGATCTGATCTGGTCTAGAAGAAGGAAAGCACAGATAGGAGAGGACAGCAGCTCATGGTCAGAAGTGTGAATTTCACTGTACTTGCTGGCATTTTTCTTTCAGTGGCGATAGGCTTAAGCATTCCTCTTCTCTCTCAAGTGGTTTAATACAGTGCAGTGAGGGTCAAAGGACTGGATTCTTTTTTTTTTTTCCCTGTTTTGTTCATTCATTTATTCTGTTCTTTAGATTCCACACATAAGCGAGATCATATGGTATTTGTCTTTCACAGTCTGACTTATTTCACTGAGCATAATATCCTCTAGGTCCATCTATGTTGTTGCAAGTTATAAGGTTTCATTCTTTTTCATGGCTGAGTAATACTCCATTATATAAATATACCACAGTTTCCTTATCCAATCATCTATTCATGGAAATTTTGGTTGCTTCCATATCTTGGCTATTGTGAGTAGCACTGCAGTGAACATAGGGGAGCATGTAATTTTTTGAATTAGTGTTTTGGATTTCTTTGGATAAATACCCAAAAGGGTCATGAGGTAGTTCTATTTTTAATGTTTTTGAGGAACCTCCATACTGATTTCCATAGTGGCTGCACCACTTTTCAATCCCACCAATAGTGCACCAGGGTTCCCTTTTCTCCACATCCTCATCAGTACTTGTTGTTTGTTGTTTTACTGATGATGGCCATTCTGACAGGCGTGAGGTGATATCATTGTGCCTTTATTTTGGATTTCTCTGATGATTCATGACATTGAGCAGGACTGGATTCTTTAACTCTGCCTCACTCTGACCCATCACATCAGCAGTCAGTCAGCCATCAAGTATTTAAAGATGGCCTAACATATGTCAAACACTGAAGCATACCAAAAATGGTAAGATATATCTTGATATAACTTCCTGCTTACTAAGTATAAATGTAGTATCTTAAAGAAAACAGCCCTGATTTAAGGAGAGGGAGTTAATATTTATTGAGGATTTAATACATGCTATTCAAGGAGCTTTATACTCATATAATATTTAATCCCCTCTCTAAAATGCTAGCACATAGGTATGTTAACCCCATTCTATAGCTGAAGAAATTGAAACCCAAAAAAGTTAAATAATTTGTTCAAGATGCTAAATTAGGAAGTAACACAGCCAGAATTTCAACACAGTTCTGGTTTCCAGGATCCAGAATTTCCAATCCCAACCCCTGTCAGGGATCCCAATGAAATTCGACAAGGGAATTCCATAAAATCTTTCCTACTTTTCAGCTCCTTTCCCTGATTTTCAGAGGAATCTGGGCTTAGAGAGGAACTACTCTTCTGCCATTTGGAGAGTCTTAAATAGCTTACTCTGGTGGTAGAGATAGAAGTAGAAAAAAAAATGTTAAAAATATAATAAAGTTGAGACATTTTGTTTTTTGAAGATTGCTTAGTATTTTAGCCTAGTGCTTTATAAAGCTTTGTCTACATCAGGATCACCTACAAGGCTTATTAAAATAGTTTCCTTGGGCCGGCCAAGTGGTGCGTTGGTTAAGAGCTGGCTTGGGACGCCAGCTCTGAGCAGCAGGGCCCCGGTTTGGATCCCACCTGAGGGCCAGTAACACTGCCCTCTACAGCTAAGATGGTGAACAACAGCTTGACCTGGAGCTGGGCTGCCATGAGTTGCCGGTGACGGCATAGTCTGCAGTGGCGCTGTAGTGGGGTGCCATAAACTACCGGTGTGTGGCCGGCAGCCGGCGTGAGTTGCCAAGAGCCACCAGGAGCTGCTGTCCAGAGGCCGGCGACCGATCTGCCGCACCTGGGAAGAGCACAATGATAATACCAACATGGGCCAGTGAAGCAACATCCTCCACAACTAGACTGAAGAACAAAAGGACAGCAACTTGTCTGTTCCCCTCCCCCAATTCCCAAATAAAAATCTTAAAAAAAAAAATAGCTTCCTTGGCTCCACCACCAAAAAATATGAGTTAGTTAGGTCTGGTCTGGGGCCTCCAAATGTGTGTATTTCTAAGGTCCTAGGTGATGCTGATATTGCCAAACTATGGACTTCATTTTGATTAGCACTGGTTTATAAAATGAATATTGATTTATGTATTTGATCAGTTAATAAATATTTTTATTAATATTTTTTTTACTATGTGCCCGATATTGTGCTGGATAGTGGACTGTAGTGTCTGCTGTGGACAATGCCTTATTGTTGGTTCTTAGTGCAGCATCTAGTTTCCCAGGAATCTAATGATGATATAATTAACACTTTCAGAGATCACACATCAGTTTTTTTACCTATGCGTGAAGTTTTTTCACCCTTGTTTGGGTAAGCTCAGACGTGAAATTGCTGTCTCATAGGGTAAGACATTTTTAAGGATTTTGTTTATGAAGTTGCCAAGTTATTTTTCAGAAAGTTTTTGCTAATTTACTACCCAACAGCAATGGAAAAGAATGCCTGTTATAACAAACCTACATCACCACAGGGTATTACAGTGTCTATTTAGGCTTTGCTTCCTTCTTATTGATTTGTAAGAGTCCTGTATCAATGATATAGACCCCTTAAAAAGCTTAATTTTTGAAAACTATGTCTAAATTTGTGCTAAGTGACCTTGAAAAAAAATGACTGTGACTTACTGGATCACAAAGCAAAGAGAGTCTTGGCAGGAATAATTTACCTTCTTTGATAAACAAGTTACTAAATGATTCTTTAAAATATGAACTCTTCGAGAATGTACTAACAAAACTCAATAGACATCCATGTCTGTTCTCATATTTAGGTTCCTTCTTTTGTATCTGCAGTGCTTTGAATGGAACACGTAAAACGCCTTTACACAGGGCAGAATGGAATACCAATAGGCTCTCACTGACAAATCTAAACCTGAGGAGGGTTCTTTTCTGCTTATATTCAGAAATGCAAGCGAACTGAAAGAGACAGCAAGCAGTGACACTAATACATC